GAGGAAACTGTGCAACAATGTATGAATGGAAATTCAAAGTCTCTATAAACTTTCATTAAAATTTAAATAATTTAAAAAGTAACACAAGATCAAAATTTAGAGAATGTATAAAAAGTAATGCTTAAAGAGAAATGTATAGTTTAAAAGATTATTTTAGAGGAAACAAAGCCTCAAATAAATATCTAAATTTAAACTTTAAAAGTAGGAAAAGGGCAAATTATTCACAATTGTCAAAAGATAGAAACAACTCAAATGTTTATCAACAGATTAATGGATATAAACAAATGTGTAATATTCCATTACACATACCAACATGTACACACAATGAAGTATTCTTTAGCCAGAGAAAACATTATGTTAAGTGAATAAGTCAGATACAAAAGGACAAAATTTGTAAGATCCCTCCTACATGAAGTGTCCAGAATAGGTAAATACAGAGACAAAAGTTAGTGGAGAGAAGGGAGTGGGAAGGTATTGCTTCGGGGATAAGTAATTTTTGCTGTTACCATGTGTCATTAAGTCAATTCCAATTTATAGAAGACCCTACTTCTCTATAGTGTCTCCTAGGCTATTACCTTTATGGGACAAACTACCAGTTCTTTACTCAGTACCTGCTGAGGGATAAAAATTGCCATTCTTTTGATTAGTTGCCAAATGATTACCTGTTATATCATCAGGACTTCTTGAAATTAGGGTGATAAAAATGTTTGGAAACAGAATAATTGGATAGCAACAGGTCTGAGTTATTTTTAATTTTGATCTTAAGAGTTGTTAAAAGGATTGAGTGAAATTGTTTTATTTTGAAAATTGTCAAACCCACAGAATAGTTAAAAGTACTTAACAATCTGACGGCGATCTGGAAAGACAGGGTAATGGTGGGCATAGTTCAATGACGATTAATTTAATAAAACATAATGATGAGAATGATTGTATGAAACACAATGTGAATGAAGGATAGTATGAAACACGATACAAACTTTGTAAGCAAACCAATATAAAAAGAAATTTTTAAAGAGCTTGACAATAAGCATTAACTCACTTTAACCATTATTTGCCAATTGAGTGACTATTTTTTTAAAGTGCTTAAAAGAATATCTAGTAATTGTAAGCATATTATTATGTAAGCAGTTAGGATAGTTAAGACAAAAAGAAATTAAAACTGTTAGACATTGGTGAAAAATTTTTAGAAAACCACCCTTTTCATCTTCTCCTGAGATGCTAGAGAACATTTTAAATATTTATGGAAACGAACAAAACCAGCTGGAATATAGAAGAAACAAAAAGGAGTAAACCCAACATCTTCACAGCAACAGACTTTATCCAAATGTCAACAGCGCACTCTGCTGGCCCCAAGTTTTTTCCACACGCCAAGAAAAGCTAATGCATTAAAATACTGGTACAAAATTGAAGACTACAATTTATTTTTATACAGAGAATGTTAGTGTTTATTTAATGAATAAGTAAAAATAAGGACTGTATGTAGAATAAGGTGTCTGTGATAATCCATTGCACACTGCAAGCATGAATTAAGGAAAGACAGAAATATGTCAAAAGTATATATAATCTAAATTAAACTATGGTCCATACAGTATGAGGCATATTACCTATCAACATGTCAAGAAAAGTTAAATATAAGCTTTATTTTTTCAATTACTTGATCTAAAATTCTTGTTGATAAACAAATATAAAAATATGTGCTGTCAAGTTGCCTGTGACTCACAGCAACCCCTGTGTTCAATAGCTCTGAACCTTGCCCTATCCTGAGCCAATATCATCATCTCCAACAGACCCAATTCCACTTCTTCAGTCACTGATTCAATACATCTCATCTTGGGTCTTTCTCTTCCGCAGTGTCCTTCCACCCTTCAAAGTATAATGCTGTTCTCCAATGACTGGGCCCTCCTGGCCACACGCCCAAAGTATGTGAGACAGAGCTTCAAATTCCTTGCCTCCAGGGAGCAGGGTGGTTTCACCCTCTCCAAGATGGCCTGTTTGTTCTTCTAGCAGTCCACAGTATGTTCAACACTCTTCTCCAGTTCTATAACTCAAAGGTATCAATTCTTCCTCTAACATCTTTAGTTATTACCAAGCTCTCTGATGCATATACAAGTAATTGCGAAGATCATGGCCTATATCAGGAGTACCTTAATCTCCAGACTGAGACAGTTGTTCTTAAAAAAAATATGTTTGTTTGTTTTTTTTAATTATTTGTGGGTACCATCAAATTGGATCTGAGTGGTACAGGAAGAGATTGTCCCTCTTTCTCCAGTAGAGCATCTAGTGGATAGTTTTTAAAAAATTATTATGACCTAGCAACAACAGTAATGCTGGCAAGGCTGTGGAGAGACTGGAACTCTTATTCATTGCTGGGGGACAATGTAAAATGGTACAGCCACTATGAAAGGCAGGTTAGAGCTTTCTCAAAAAATTGGAAATAGAAACATGATTTGATCAGCAATTCCACTACTGGGAATATACTCTAATGAAACCACAGTCACGATGAAAACATCACATTCACTACCTATATCACCACCAATCTCATCAGAAAACTACCAAGCTCACAGTGACAAATTTTTCAAAATGCTGATTTTTTATTTAAATGCTCAAAATCTATCAGCATCACTTTACTTATTTTCAAGAATTACCATACTTAGTCTGTCAGTCACTAAAGTAAAAACAATGTTCCATGAAAAAAGTGGCTACATCAGTTCACAACTCAAACTAGCCTACAAATACTTTTTCTCAAGACAGTCTGTACACAAAAATGTTTGAGAAATACTTCTCATTTTTTCTTGGATATTTAAAATCGTAAGGGCTCAGATTCAACAAATCTAGTAATATACACAATCATTTAATGAAGAGCACTTTTGTCATCAAGAGCATTTCTAAGTGAAAGTGGCTTTTTAAAAAAACTAAGTGATTAAATGTTCATTAAAATTATTTAAAAAAAAAACTAAGTGATGAAAAAAAGACCTGACAACAAATAGGTGGGTGGTACTGCCTTCATCTGTGCTTAGGCACTAGAAACTATAACCACCTTTGCATTTGCATCATCACTGCAAATGTCAAGATAATACAAAGGAAAAAAAAAAAAGATAATACAAAGGGCAAATATAGCACCTCAATGTTGTTGTTATTGTTAGGTGCTGTCAAGTATGACTCACAGTGACCCTATGAACACAGACCAGAACCCTGTCCTACCTTGGGCCATCTTTATCAACTCCAACACACCTGAGCCCACTGGTGCAGCCACTTTGTCAATCCACCTTGCTGGAGTCTTTCTCTCTTTCGTTAACCCTCACTGTCAAGCACGATGTTCCCTTCCAAGGAATAGCCTCTCCTAGCAACATGCCCAAAGTATGAGAGACAGAGAGTCTATTACGAAACTATTTTTCATCTCACAGACCTCTAGGAAAAAACACCTGGTAGAACATACTGGTCCATTCCTAAAGAATTGCTATCCTAAAGAATACAGAAAGAACTTCAAGGAAGTGGAGTTTACAAACACTGAATTAGTCTTATTCTCAGTTTATAAACTAGAAACTGAAGCAGAGAAAGCCTTGGGGCCTTACCATCTTACATATCAGAAACTGACTGCAGAGAATGTTCTTCGCATTATACTTTTCCTTTTTCCCCCCCAAAACAGATTTTGCAAATTCAGGATTTCTTAAATGGAACAATGGCATAAATACATACGGTTTGTGGGAGAAAGGAGTTTCTGTTTCCTGATGGGGAGGTGGGTATTACAGCCTTTCCTGAAGCAACTTTAGTATCCAAATGGGGTATTTCATTTTCAAAACAAAGACGTTTTCTGATCTGTAAACACAGAACCAAAACGAAATTGAATATGTACTAAAAATGTCTGAGCAGGCTAGTTGTTTTCAAAAGTCAAGACAGATAGTTCAAGATAGTTCTACGTGTCAATATAAAAGCTTTTAAACGTGATTATTTCTAACTGAGGGAGCTCTGGTAGTTTAGCAGTAAGGAACTGCACTGACCACCCAAAGATACACGGTTCAGATGTGCCAGCTGCTCTGCAGGAAAAAGATGGACAATGTCCTCCCATGCAAACTACTACCTCGAAAACCCAATGGAAGATTAGCTATGGGTTGGTTCCAACTTGACGGTAAACAATAATTTCTTACAGGCAAGAATCAAATATGTTTGTTTTTTTTACAAATAGGAACCTCATTTTAATCCTTAGAAAGTACAATATTTCATAAACTGCAATCAAAAAAGCTTTGTTATTGTTGTCAGGTGCCACTGAGTTGAAGATGGGTCACATTCATAGGGACCTTATGAAAAACAGATTTAACAACATACAGTATTATAACATACAGTATTATGTATGAAAATGACAGTATTCTAAGTGATCATATAAAAGAATACAAGCATTACTGTAAAATGACTATGAGGATCCAAGGCAGTGAGGAGGGTGGAAATAGAGAGGTGAGGATGGGAAGGCAGGGTGTTAATCATAGGGTTTCACAATTCAATGAGTGGGTGGGGTGAAGGAAACGGGAAGGATCTTTTATAAAAAAGAATGTACTTGAACCTTGTAAATAAATCAGAGGAAAATTCTTTAAAAAAATCCTTATAAAAAAAAAAGAATGGGACCATATAAGCACTACATAAAGGATTATAACAAAGGCCAACTGCATATCTAATTAGGAAATGAAAGTATACAGTAAATCAAAATTTAAAGTCTTGTTCTACATCAAAAAGAACTCAGGATAAACTATTTTTTTAAGAAAAATAGTACGAAGGTCTATTAAGGTAATAGCTAGTAAAAGGTTGTTGTTGTTGTTGTTATGTGCTGTCTAGTCGTTTGCAACTCATAGCGACCCTATGTACAACAGCCCTAAACCCTGCTCTATCCTGTGCCACACAAAATAATTTAAGTCAAAAAGAAAAAGAGTAAAGACAGGGATGAACCCAAATGTTACAGCAGAAAGGAGAGGAAAAAAGACAACAGGATAAACTTTTTAAAAAAACAAAAAAATTCATTACTTACATATGATGAATTACATTACTGTTATCACTACTGTCTACTGGACCAAAAACTAAACTTAATGCCACTGATTTAGTCAATTCCAACTCAAAGGAACTCTGTCAGATTTCTGAGGCTATAAATCTTTCCAAAAAAAGGTCTTTTCCTTCTGCAAAGTGACTACTCACTTTGTTAGTAGCCCCATATGTTACACACTACACCATCAGGACCTCTCCAAATTACTGAGGAGCAATAACATTAGTTTTAGGACTAAGGTGCTTCTGATTCAGGCCATGATCATTTCAATCATCTGCTATGCATCTGAGAGCTGAACAATGAAAGAGAAGGATGAAGGAAGAATTGATGCCTTTGAATTGTGATGTTGGAGAAGAGTGTTGTCCCATGGACTGCCAAAAAAATAAATATGTCTTAGAGAAAGTGCAGCCAGAGTGCTCACTGGGGGCCAGGATGATAAAGCTTTGCCTCACATACTTGGGGCTTGTTGCTAGGAGGGATTGTTCCTGGGAAAGGAATATGATTTTGGAAGGGCAGAGGGTTGGAGAAGGAGAGCAAGACCCTCAAGCAGGTAGACTGACACAGTGACTGCTGCAATGGGCCTTAGTGTGGCAGGAGGTGGGAGGATGGTCCAGGATAGGACTGGGTTTAGATCTGTTGTTCATAGAGTTATTGTGGGTTGTACTCAACTCAATGGTACATAACACCACCACCACCAGAGTTCTCTACCACTCACTAATCTGATAATTTAGGCTGGGCTTGCTTAATTTTTTTTATAACATTAAGGTTTCATATGTCCCTATGCTTTTTCTATTTGCCAAAAATCTGTTTATTTAAATTACAAGAAGAAAAAAGTATTTGAGTATCATCTCTTCCAAAAAAAGAGAGCAAACAAATCGAGAGAATATATTTACTAATACATTTATACCTCACGAAAATCTAACTCTATGCATCTTTTTGGTGAGGAAAAAACCCCACTCTATAGATTCACACTTCCTTGGAATGAGGGCATTTTCAAAAAAAAAGAAACTATACCTACTCCTGATTTATCAACTCTCATGATCTGATATTTCATCTTTATGACAACAGTGAAAAAATCTAGTAACCAATTATTTTGCAACTTAACAATATACATCTGTCAATAGTGAACACTGAGGTCCCTAACAAGGTCTCTGATGTTGGACCCTGTAAATAAGTAGAAAGGATGTTTGTGCTGCCTAGTATTTCACTGACTAGGGAAGGAGTGCTAAGTGTGTGCTAAGTGGAATAAAGGGGAGATAGAGTGGGGCCAGCAGGGACAGAACATTATCTGGCAGGTCCTAGATGCCCAGAGGGGACTGATGTCACAGTGGCAGCAGCCAGTGTCCTGGACATAGGCCACTCGTGGGTCCCAGCAGGAGGCGGAACCTGGGGGTCAGACCCTGTTTCCCAGCTCTAAAGGATGAGAGGGCCAAGTCGGGGCCTGGTCAGAAGTCCTGAGATGGGGTACCTGAGTGCCCAGGCATCACGGAACGACCAGTACCTGAATGTGATCTCTTACATTTCCACAGTGCTCCTCCCTGAGTGCATACAGGTGAAGGCTGGAAGGCTACCTGTACATGGGTAGGAACTGGGCAGCAGCAGCCAAGGAGATCAAGGGCTGAGGCTGATTCTGGCCATACGAGCCTTGCAGGAAGCTCTATATTACCAGTTCTTATGAGAACATGAGAGGAGAAGAGGCAGGGCCAAGTAGTAAGAGTCAGGGGATGTTCAAGCACAGGATAGATGAAGACCTGGCCAGCAGCATGCATCCTCTCTGTGTCACCTAGGCCACAGGAGCTTCCTGTCCCCAACAAAGGTACTTGGGGCATTCGGGGGTGATTGAGAAGATAAGCCAAGATCACTCATTCTAAAAATATGGTCAGATCAGGACAGGGAGGGGATCTTGTAGAGAAAGGCAGCACTTGGGCCATCCTGACTCTGAGAGATTAGGTGGCCTTCCCTATAGGTAACAGTGGGGGCCAAGGTGTTCTAAGGAGACATATGAGAAGGACAGGTGGCAGAGGCAAGTGACCTCTGCAGGGGCCCAGTAAAGTGTCCATAGCATAGATGAAGTAAGGCGATCCTCTTTCAAATAATGCTGATTTCTGCATAATGACCTGGTCTTATGTCAAAAAGTAAAAAGTGTACATATCTGGTAATTTAGGTCTTTCAATAATTTTTTTAAATATATTTATTTTCATCATGTACTTAAATAGAAAAATAAGAGCAAACTTTGTCAATATACTAAAAAATAATTTATATCAAAAATATTCTGGGCAATAATGCCATTATTAGGTTAAAAATAACAAAGGAGTTGAAAAATATAAAAATATATCTATACAAACACAAAATATTTATGTTACCAATATAGGTGTTTTGCTTTCAGCAAATATTTTAACATCAAATCCCCAATCTGTAATATATTAAGCAAGTACTACATAGTATCACTTTAATGATACACTCTTGTGAGTAATCTGCTGTATTCACAAAGTTTGTAATAAGAAATCAAATTGCAAGAAAGTATCACTTAATTACATCTTTGATATGACCCAACTAATCTCAATCTCCATTGATACCACCAAAAACCTGTGTGGTACTTAACTATCTTGTTCAGTATAATTAACTGGATTTCACGGTTAATAAACTACTTGCCTGCTGTGCAGTTTCCAAGGGTCGAATTCGTTTCTTGTCTACTTGGAAATCATCACTTTCATCTCTGTATACAGAAGCTTGTTTCTTGGCTGATAACTTTGCTGCCAGTGTGCTTTTTTCGGGAGAGTCTTATGTAAAAAAAATCATAAAAATCAGTATAAGTAACTTAGACAATTTTTCTAGCATAAAATTGAAACCTAGAGGTAAAACTTTTTCTAGAACTATCCTAACAGTCGAAAATATGAAAAACTAATCATATTTAAAACTATTTGTGCTTTCATAGATACCTCAATAGTGCATCATGACTTAAGAAATATAACTGAAAAAATACTCTCAAGAAAATGTACTTAATTTATATAAAAATTGTAGTTTACAATGTCTCAATGTTCCTTTCCTGATAAACTTCTCAATGTTCTCAAAGCACATTTTACAGTAGAATTGAACTCCTGTAATTTCTTTCTTAATCCCACAATCCTGAAAACTCATTCTCAAAAGGATCTTAATTGTTATTAGATGCTGTTGAGTCAAGTATGACTCATAATGACTCTAAGAGCAAAAGATCTGAACCCTGCCCTATCCTGTGCCATCTATCTGCACACTTTGACACAGTAGGGCACATCGCAACAGTCACTGTGTCAATCCACCTGGTTGAGGGTCTTCCTCTCCTTTGCCAATCCACTATCCTTCCAAAAATCATGTCTCTCTCCAAGGAACAGACCCTCCAAGCAACATGCCCAAAGGATGTGAGGCAAAGCCTCATCATCCTTCCTTCCAAAGAGTACTCTGGCTGCACTCTATCCAAGACATCTTTGTTTATTCTTTAATAGTAGTCTATGGGATGTTCACTGCTCTTTTCCAACAACACAGCTCAAAGGCATCAATTCTTCTGTTATCCTTATTCATTATCTATCACTCAGATGCATAGCAAGTGATCAGAAAGACCATGACCTGAATCAGATGCACCTTAGTCCTCAAACCGACATCATTACTCCTCAACAATTTAGAGAGTTCCCTAACTGCAGACTTTTCCAGTGCAATGCATCTCCTTATTTCCTGACTGCTGGTACCAAGATCATTAATAGGGTTGAAAACCCTATGATCCTAATTATAAAATACTAACTCCATTAACAAATTAAATGCTTGATTTAAAAGAATAAAGACCAAATAACATGCCCAATATCACTCAGTTACTAAGTGGCCCAGGCTGACAGTTACTGACTTACAGGTTAATTCCAAAGTTCATTAGCATAACCTCTAGACACAGTCAAAATTTGCAATCAAACAGATTTGTCTTCAATGACTTTAACACTATTCTTAACGTATTCCTATATACTGGCTTTCTCCCTTCTCTAAATGTGAAAAGTATTGTATGCTCTAAACACAGAATGGTTTCTTTCAGTTAACAGTGTTACACATAACACACCATGTCACCAACAGTCCTAAAAAACCAAGAAAGAGCTCTATGGACTGGAGCGGTATCAATGAAGATGGAGATTTATATAGAGAAATAAGGAAGAACAAAGTGTCCATGATGTCAGACGTGGTTACTTCTTTTCATAAGGTCAAAGTAGAAGAACGATAAAAACCACACATAATCATGTTATTCTTAATATATATATATATATCTTAAATAAATTAAGATCATATTAAAATTCATCTAGTCTTCACATAGGATACTCGGGCAAATTTTATCAAGAACAAAAGAATCATTTTAAATTTCGCCTTAAGACATAATGTTTTATAAGAGTCTAATATATAATTAACACTAGCTATATATGTTTTCCAGGCAACTGTATAGCACATAACAACATATTACAGTAATTTCTAAATAATATTTATTTTTGCCTTGCCTTTTTCATAAATTGATTAAAAGTAAAATGTCCAAATATATTAAATCATACTAGGAATAAAAGGTTCCAAGAGAAGGCCTTTGTGCTACGTATTACCTTTTAGAAACTAGTGAATGTGGTGTCAAGAGAGGCCTAAATCATGATCTTTGCAGCCATTTTCCACCCTTGAATTTTATTCCTTTGGTGTAGCAGCTGCATAAGTTACAGTTCCAAGAGTCTCTGACCACTCTAGGTATTGTTCTGAAATAATTCCAGAGTTTAGTATAGATAGACAATGAAATGTTAATCAATTTTACCTAAATCTGGTTTCATAACAGCCATAAGTCTCTTATAAATACAAACTGATTCATATAAGAAATATAAATTACCTTGACAAGTTGATGAAGTATTATTTCTTCCAGAAGGTGGTGTACTTGGATTGCTAAAATGGTGAGATGTTCCTTGGTTTGTGTCATTGTTCTTTGAATGACATGTACAACAACATAACAATGGTACATCACACTTTTTACTTGAGCCCTCCTCCACTGGCTTCTCTAAAAATTTTAAAAAAAAAAAAAGCAAAAAGTTGATTTCTAATACCTCTAAGGAAACTAAGTTCATCTGTCTATAACTAGGTGAACAACCATTCCCTTTGGCTAGGAACATCACTGTCATTGAGCTGATTCCAGGTCACAGTGAGCCTCCATTCTGGTTACAAGTCTTTACAGGAGGACTCAGCTCAATTTTCTCCCAGGAGCAACTGGTGGCTTCAGACCACCAACCTTGCAGTTACACACATCACACATGGTGCCATCAAAGGTCCTAAAATAACCATGAAAGAGCTTGGCAAGACAGAACAAGTTGATTACCCTTTTAGCAGCATTACACTGGGATAGAGGAGACATATTTATGCCAGACACTTATCAATTACCATTTGAGATTAATTTCCTATTAAAGCTATAAAAATCTAACAGTTTACGATTAATAACAGTCAAAAAACAACTGTTTGAGTATTCATTTGTACTAGATTTATTTTTAAATCAACTAGAAGGAATGAAATAAATACACAAATAATACATTTAATTACCGACATTTTCTTAACTCAAGGATTTGAGTGTTCAATATATGACATAGTAATTCTGTAAATTAATATGAGGACCAAATCATTCCTCATATTAAAATTTTACTTTAAACATGTTTTTCAAACATGCATCGGGGGATCTAGAATATATACGTGAACATCCTGTATTATTCCATTTATATCCATTTTAATAAACAGATAAAGAAAAAAATTCAAACATGCATCAAAATGCATTTTAAAATTGTAATTCAACAAATTAGATAAATTTTAACTACTAAATATAATACAGATTTTATGTGTAACAACAATATGGAACCAGGGGTGCACTGAGGGAGGGTTAAGGGAGAGAGGAGGGAAGGGAGTAAGAAAACGTGCAACAATGGAAAACAATTAAAATTTTAAAAAAGGAGTTCTGGTGTCCTAGTGGGTAAATAGTTGTGCTGCCAACCCAAGGGAAATGGTGCAAATCCATCAGCTTCTCCAGTTATTCTATAATGTTACGAGGGACAGATAAACAAATTAATTATTTTTATTAAAAATAACTCTTTTATTAAAAGAGTTTAGTATATAGACTAGCATTCTGCCGGCCCATCTCATACATTTCTTACATACAAATTACTGTACTATTTTCATGATGATTCTAAGCAATCCCAGATTCTTTTTTTTTTTTTTTTTTTTTTGGCTATCCCAGAAGATTCTGTCCCATGGTGGACTGGTGGACAGTGTTGGCTGGAGCTTCCCGACTAAATCAAGCCTGGAAGCAGGAGCGGCATCCTCTGGAAACTCTATGTATGAACAGTGCTCAGGCTGTTCGTTCATAGGGTCGCTATGAGTCGTCTACGACTCGATGGCATTAAACAACAATAACAATGACAACGACCAAGAGAGAGCTACGTTGGCCTAGTGGAAGGAAGCTGTGCTACCAAGCCAAAGGTGGGTGATTGTCATCTGTGGCCCTCGGCCAGGTTCAAACTGTCTTCCTGTCAAACATTCTTCTAGGTGGTATAGCACTGGTATGTGCGTTGCTGCAGAGAGGTAACTTGTGGTTGCTGTGATGCTGAAGCCTGTGACAGTGATGTGGCAATTGTGGTAACGGGTACCCATGGTGGACAGTGTTGGCTGGAGCTTCCCGACTAAATCAAGCCTGGAAGCAGGAGCGGCATCCACTTCCAAAATGGCTTGCCTCTGGAAACTCTATGTACAAACAGTGCTCAGGCTGTTCGTTCATAGGGTCGCTATGAGTCGTCTACGACTCGACGGCATTAAACAACAACACCATCCCAGATTCTTACATACTCTCCGAATCATGAGAGAAAAGATTTTCATTATTGATCCCTTTCCAAAAACACCACAGTGTAAAGAAATATCTTATAAATTGTTGTTGTTGAGGGAGCTCTGGTGGCCTAGTGGCAAGAAGCTGCACTGCAATCCCAGAGGTATGCGGTTCAAATCCACCAGATGCTCTGCTGGAAAAGGAGGGACGATCTCCTCCTGTATCAGTCAGATCTGATTTGACGGTACACACACACACAAATAATAAAATTAAATTAAATTAAATTTAAAAAAATAAATTGTTGTTGTTGATTACCTTCGAGTTGAACACGACTCATAGAGACCCTATGAACAAAAGGCCTGAAGCCCCCTACAACCATCAACATTTATCAAAGTTCATAGTTTCCGAAGGCATGTTGTTTAGGAAGTGAATACCACTCCTGCTATTTAAATTAGCTAGAACATGCCTGAATCGTTCTGAAGAAAGACTCCCCTTAGGTCCCAGTAAACAACTTAAAAGATATTAACTACTTACCACTTAGGGACTGCTGCCATGCTAATGCAGAACAAAGTAAGGCTAAGCTTTTTCCACTTCCTGTGGGGCTCTCCAGCAAACAGTGTTGTTTACTGTTTAGTCCTCTCACAATCTAGTGACACAAAACCAATTGAAAACCAATAAGAACTTTATCAGAAGGACAGAGTAGTTAGACATGAACCTGCACTCCAGGAAACAAATCAACATGGAAACAAAGAACAAGTATTTAGTTAAACCTAGACTTTATGTCATGAATTGCACGCAGAACAAGGCATATGTTGGGGGGAAAGTACAGCTAGAATGTTCCGCAGAAGTGAGAATGGTCTCACAAACTTGGGGCCTGGAAGTCCCTGAATAAAGATATCATACTTGGCAAAGCGGTAGATCAGCGAAAAAGAGAAAGACCCAGGGTTGATGCAGTGGCTGCAACAATGGACTCAGACATACCAACAAGATCAGGCAGGGAGAGAGACCTCACAAGATCCCTGAGTCAGAACTGGTTCAAAGGCACCTAACAACAGCAATTCTTTATGCTCTTCGCTAAAATTATGTTGGACTTAGCAATTTTATCAAGCACTAGGGGAGAAAAAAGAAAATCTATGTTTTAATTATGCAAATAGTATCTTTATGAAAAAATTATAATGTTGTGATACCTATAAATATCTTTGATGGGAACTTAGGAAAAGGGAGTGTAAATTGCCATCTCTACTTTGAGCAGAAATAAACAATTTCTAGTAAAGTTGAAAATGCTCAATCAGCAAATTCAATCCTAATTACGTACTCAGAACTTTTTAAGTAAGAGTATAAAAGAAGACCATTGCAGGTGGGCCATAACTTTTTTTTTTTAAAAAAGGATCATAGATGAAAATAGCACTCTTTATCATTGTAAAAGAACATCAATAAAAAAATATAAATTCTGATACAGTGACATGTTGTTACGTATCAAGTTGTAACCATCTCAGAGCTGACCCTCCAGAGGATTTTCAGAGGCAGTAAATAAATCAATTGCATGTGAGGAGACTGCTCATCTTTCTTTCACAGAGCAGCTGGTATATTTGAACTGTGTGCCTTTGGATTAGCAGTGCAACTTCTTACCATTAAGCCACCGGGGCTCACTGCTATAGTCATATAGCCTGGTATACAGTCATTAAAATGTATCAACAGTCAGGGGAGCTCTGGTGGCCTAGTGGCAAAAAGCTGTACGGCATCCCAGAGGTATGTGGTTTGAATCCACCAGATGCTCTTCTGGAGAAGGAGGGGCAATCTCCTCCTGTACCAGTCAGATCTGATTTGACAGTATACACAAAAAAATAATAAGTAAATTTTTTTAAAAATTGTATCAACAATCAAAAGGACTACATCTTAAAAATAATGTTAAGCAAAAAAGAAAAATCAAATTCTGCAGAAAGTACAGTATCAACATCATTATAAGCACATGCTTATAATGTTTAGGTTAACAGTTCAACTCCTTACCACTAAACTGCCAGAGTTCCCTATACCACATTTGTTGTTGTTGTCAGATGCTGTCGAGTACAACTCATAATGACACTAGGAACCACAGATCTGAACCCTGTCTTATCTTGTACCATCCTCATCATTTCTGAGACACTCGAGCCCAGTCACTGTGTCAGTCCACCTGGGTGAGGGTCTTCTTCTCTTTCACTGACCCTCCACATTTCCAAGCATGGTGTCCCTCTCCAAAAAACAGCCCCTCCTAACAACATGCCCAAAGTTTGTGAGGAAATGCTTTATTATCTTTGCCTCCAAGGAGCACTCTGAGTATACTCTCTCCAAGATTACTGGTAGGAATGTAAAATGGTGCAACCACTATAAAAAAGTTTGGTGCTGGGTAAGCTGAAATTTGAAATATCATTTGATCCAACAATCTCACTACTAAGTATATATCCCAAAGAAATATTAGCTGCAATACAAACTGACATACACATACCCATTTTACTGCAGTATTATTTACAATGGTAAAGAATTGGAAGCACCCCAAGTGTCCATCAATGGATGAAGAGCCAAAGAAACTATGAAGCATTCACACAATGGAATACTATACATCACTGAAAATTATGAATTCATGAATGCTGTATGACATGGATTAAAGAACAAATTATGCTGAGTGATAGAAATTGCTCACAAAAGGATAATTATGGTATAAGATCACTTACACGCAAACCTAAGGAATGGTTAATATACAGAGAGAATCAATCTTAAGTTAATAATGATGAGAAAGAAAGGAAAAGGCAAGTGAAACTGAACACATAATGTGGGAGAAAGGAAAGGCAATATATAAAAAAGATTTGATTAGACACAGACATTGGAATATAATAAATGTTCACTCAAAAGTAAGCTTCTTAAAATAATAAATAAAATTTAATCAAAAAGTCTGTATGACTGAAATATTTTAAAAACATCAAATGGGAAATAAAGTATTCTGTATAAAAGACAGTAAATATTTTGTGAAAAGCAGTAATTCAGTAACAAACATTTCAGATGAGCTGAGAATAATTTTTACAATTTTTTTTTTTTTTTAAAATTTTTACAATTTTCTATTTTTCCTCCTAGCCATGGACGCATAAAATGTAGTATAACCAATAGTATTTCTTTTCTCAAACATATATAATATGTCATTTATTTCCCAAAAGTTAGATTTCCCCCAAATAAACCCAGAAAAGTCTCAACTCACTTACTATGTAAGAAAATAAATACTGAATGAAAAAATGAATACTGTATCTTCATAAAGACAAAATAACTTTTGAAAATTACTTACAGAATTCATCATAGCAAGTTGTGATGGGTAAGCTTTGCAAGGAAAGCTAATCTTCACCCCACCAATTGTATATTCAGACCATAATGATGACATCATGCTTCCTTATTTATTTCAGATCCCTCCTTAGCTGTAACAAAAATTGGGGGGGAAAACTGAATTTACAACACTCAGAGAAACCGAGGCCTCAACACTAGAAAAGAAGTCTGGAAATAAAAATTAGAATTAATAAATGTATACATAAAATGGAAGCAAATTCTTTTCTATCTTTTTTCCATAATCTGGTGGTTTGAGAGCAGGACTCATTTGCCAGTTTGTCATAATTGAATGGCTCGAGCATTGCTGTGATACTGGAATCTATGCCACTGGTATTTCAAATACCAACAAGGTCACTTAATGGTGCACAGGATTTGCAGAGTTCCCAAACTAAGACAAACTACTAAGCCAGATTAGCAATCTATTTCTGAAATAATTGACCAGTGCCAGCACTATGGGAAGAAGCAGTGTACTGTCTGATAGAATATGGGAAGATGAGGGAGGCCCTCAGGCTGTAAAACAATCCAAATAACCCTGAGGAGGAGCTGCCTCTTTAAAGCAGAGCCCATCTTTTTTACATGGAAGGAGTAAAGCTTTGAGCAAATGAAGAGTCATTATTTGCTGATGTGGCCCAACTCAAAATGAGAAGAAACAACTACAAACATACATTGATAATCAGAAAGTGGGCTGCACAAAGAAGAAATCTAATAAAACTGGAAATTGTAAAAAATGAAACGACACATAATAATCAATACCCTAGGCACTGAAGAGCTGAAGAGGTGCTCTGGTGGCCTAGTCTCAGTGATGAAAAAGACCAGCAGCTCTGCAGTACTCACCTACTGTGCTTTTCAAACCCATAATGAGTCAGAACCAACCTGATGGTTGTGAATTTGAATGTTAGTGCGCTGAATAGTATTGGCCACTTTCAACTAAACAATCATATGATCTACTATGTTTAGAATGACAAATTGAAGAGGAATGACATCACATCATCATCAAAAAGAGCACTGCAAGATCTATCATGAAGTACAACTCTGTTAATTATAGGATAATATCCATACACATACAACAAAGACATGTTAATATGACTATAATTCAAATTTATGTACCGACCACTAAAATCACTCAATGAGGTAACTCAGGATTTCTACCAACTTCTATAGTCTAAGACTGACTAACCATGAAATTAAGACTATTAATAATAACTGTTTAGAATGCAAAAATTGGAAATAAAGAGTCAGTGGCTGGAAAATAGGATTATGGTGAAAGAATGAGGCTGGAGATCACATGATAGAATTTTTCATGCGCAACAATTTACTCAATGCAAATATATTTTTTAAAAAACATAAAAGGCAACTCTACATGTGAACTACAAACAGTGCACACAGGAAATAAACCCACTACATCTTTGAAAAGACAGACCGGCAAAGCTAATATCATTAATCAAAACTAGGGCAGGGACCAACTGCAGAACAAACCATCAGTATGCAAGTTCAAGTTGAAGAGGAAAAAAAAGTTAAGTCCGTAAGAGTAAAAATATGATACATAAGTATAACCCATCTGAGTAGCTACCATGTCAATAATACATCTGAAGAGAGAAAAGACCAAAACAGATGTTAGAAGGGAGCTCTGGTGGCCTAGTGGCAAGAAGCTGCACTGCAATCCCAGAGGTAAATGATTCAAATCCACCAGATGCTCTACTGGAGAAAGAGAGACAATCTCCTCCTATACCAGTCAGATCTGATCTGACGGTACACATACAAAAAATAACTAAATAAATAAAAAGACAACAGTCCTCATCACTGGGCTGATCAAATTATGATAGAGGGGGGAAAAAAGAGAAGAGATTGAAACTTGCTCTAGAATTAAGAAAAACTAAAGTTATGGTAAGAAATGATAAGAGTTGAATAGAAAATTTCAAAGGTAGCTGGGCAAAACAAAGGAAAGTAGAAAAATGAAATGTGAAAAAATCTGGGGTTAGAAAACCAAAAAGGGATAACATATTAGACATTTCTCATGTTAAAGGAAATTAAGGAAAAAATTAAGATGCATCCTCCAATAGTGAAGGTTTCTATGGGCGTTCTGGTGGCCTAGTGGCAAGAAGCTGCACTGCAATCCTAAAGGTGCGCAGTTCAAGGCAACCAGCTGTTCTGCAGGAGAAAGATGGGCCATCTCCTCCCCTGCCTCTGAGAACCTGCCAGAGGGTCGGTTATGAGTCAGTTCCAACTCTACAGTACACAACAACAAACAACAGCAGCCTTCAGTATGGATTACATCTCAACACCAAAACAAAAATCTTCACAAATGGACCAATAAACAAAATCATGAGACAGAAAAAAAGATTGAAGCTGTCAAGAATTTCATGTTACTTGGATCCAAAATCAACACCCACAGAAGCAATGGTTAAGAACTCAAATGACATATTTCTCTGGGCAAATCTGCTGCCAAAGAACTTTTCAAAGTGCTACAGAGTAAGGATGGCACTTAGAAAACTAGGAGAATTTGTGCATGACTCAAGTTCTATTTTCAGTGGCCTTGTATGCTCATGACAGCTGGACAACGAACAAGGAGGACTGAAGAAGTATTAATGTCTTTTAATTATAGTGTTGTTAAAGAGTATCAAATATATTATGGACTGTCAGAAAAATCAAATCTGTCTTGGAAGTAAGCAGAGTCACATATTTTTGGCAAGTTAGCAGGAGAAGACAGTCCTTGGAGAAGAATATCAGATTGCAACACAAGGATTAGCAAAAAAAATGAAGATACAGAGATTGGCTGGCATAGTGTCTGCACAATGGACCCAAACACAGTCCCAACTGGGAGGACACAGGACCGGGCAGCCTTGTGTTTTATCGTACACAGGGCTGCGATGAGTGGATCCAACTCTCAACAACAAACTCACAATGTGACATCAGACGCTCTTCCACCAGTATTTTAAATAAATACCAGTGGAGTCAGTCATAGAGGACACATTTCAGCAGTGCTCCCAGATTGACACATTCTGGAGCAAAAGGCCCAGCAAAATATTACTAAAAATAGTGTCTCTAACAGTACGGGAAGATGAGCAGCTCATATTGAAAAGGATTACACCGATTTAGATCCTCCCAGAAGAGCGGTGGGTGAGCATTAACATTACTGGTAGGTATATTCATTTTCTCCTGGACACAGAGCCTACTAATTGGTCCTAAAAGCCTTCTGAGGTCCCAACTCTTCTCACTATTTCTTAGTTGTTGGAATGGACGGAAAACCTCATAAGCAGTTCCTTACTTCACCTCTACCTTGCATGCGAACTTCCGAGTTGTAAAACAACCCAGTGGTAGATGAAATTTCCTCCAGGACTTAAGAACCATAAATGATGTAGCTGACCCTCTACATGTTATGGTTCCTAACCTCTACACTATAATAGACAAAGTGCTAGTCTACAGGCCTTTTATTGTAAGAATCACCTTCCCTCTGTAACTTGATTTGTGCCACTATTAGAACCTCTACTCGGAGTATTATTGCTTTTTCATTTTTGACTCATGTACTTTTAACTTGTTAGTTAAATTTGTGTCTTCTAGGCTGTAACACTTCCATGATACATCTTTAAGGATATGAACATGTACGGCTAAGCACAATTGATAACAGTGCATCTAAATTCCAAAATCAATCTCCATAATAGTCTATTTGTTTCCTATTGCCAAAGGGGCCCTTTAGAGTAGTGAAGAAGATCTTCACCCTGAAACCTACAGCGTCCCTTTTCAGCAGGAAGTAGCTAAGAGAATACGCCATCCCCTTTTCCTTATGAATCAGGGGGAAATCTCTCTCAGGGAGGAGTGATAGGGAATGGCAAAGGACACACTGACAAAGGGGATTAATCAGAACTGGCTTTGACAAGCACTGTGGCAATTGGACAATTAAGACAGATATTCATGGGGGGGGGGGGAAAGAAGAACGAACTGGGGAGGAGGGTAGAGAAAACAGTGCAACAATGAATGAATGAAAAACCCAAAATCTCTGTAAATGTTCATTAAAACTAATAAAATTTAATAAAAATTTTAAAAAAAAGGATTACACAACAATAGACTGATTCTCACACTCACAAATGTGAACATTTGTGCGCTGCAAAATCAGGCAATTTTTGTTCTCTTGTATATAATGTTGCCATGAACTATAGTCAACTTAAGAGTAACTAACAAACATAAAGCACAGAGGTTGAGAGCATGTGCTGATAGTCTGACAAATGGGAATATGCATGCCCACTAACAGGTGTTAGTGGTACGATGGTGTGATGTTAAGGGCTTATTGTTCAAAATTATTTTCCCAAGCCACTGACTTCAACTAGGATAGGGGGGAATATGCAACTAGGGTGTGTTAGCCTATCCACAAGAGGACTGGCTAGTCTCACCACTAAACTGAACAGAGTTAACAGCAGATTTGGGGAATCTTACCACCAGGAAAAACGTAGAGAATGTAAAATGTGTGTCCTTTGGGGCCACTCAGACTGGGGCCACAGGAGCAGCAGGAGTCACAGCCAGAACCAGAGACCTGACAGGAGACAGAGTTGACCTTGAGTACTGCTACACCATGAAATCAGAACTAGGAGAATTTGCCCAAGTTTACTGGAGGACTAGAGGTAGAGCCATAACTGGCAGGACTAAGTAAGAGCTTTGGCCTAAAGCCGCCCGGCTGACAGCCCTATGAGCAAACCTCAGCAGCTGTACTGAGAAACTGTATCCTATTAAATTCTCTAATAAACTCCACAATCATGACTATGGTTCCGTGTGCTCTGTGAGCTACCACAACAGATTTCACACCCAGTAGATAAGTATTAGAATTAGTAGAGGGCAGGAAGCATAGGGGACATGTCTGACCTTATGGAAATCAGTTTTGTGCTATTGATGATGATGGCGCAGTCCCCCCCTTAAGAATTAGCGGAGATCATTAGTAGAGACCCCATGTGGTCTTTTACAGATGGTTATGGTTGCATGTCAGCTTGGCTGCCCATGATTCTCGGCTTTCACAGTTATGTTGTCATTACCTTGATGTTATTAAGTTTAAAAACTAAGATGTGTTTGTTGCAAACTCTAGTATTTATCAACTGCTTCC